TAAATGGTTAAATGGAATTTCCTGCATTTCTATTTGTGCTCATTGCCTCTTGTCCTTTTTTATTTCCATAGAAAATTGACTCCTAATTAGTCAGCAGGTAAGGAAAAAGCAGGCCTAATGTAACTGTAGGAAAGAAATTTAGCAACCAAGGACATGACTTGGTTGTTTAATGCCAGTAATTACCTTACACTCAGTGTCAAAAACCAGAGAAATTACTGCACTGTTCATTAATCCACATTACTTCCCCCCCTCCCCTTTCTTTACTGAAAGTACTTACTCAATGTAGTCATTAGCTCAACAAAAGTGCTTAGGAAAACACAGACGTCTTTTTAGAAGTCATACACTGCACATGATAATATCTCTATGTATCATAACATTTAGTACTTCAACCAGCCTTCAGCCAAGGATTTCAGAAACCCGGATTTGTCAAGATAAATAGATGTATACTGGCTTGTAAATCGTGAGTCATCAGGCTGAAGCAATCGCTTAAGTAACTTGCTGAACTGTGCCACAGGCCCAACTTACTCATAGTCACACCACTTTGTAGTAAACCTCATTGTATTAATTTGTTCTTCAGTGAAAAGAATATGACGAAGAATCAAAAGCAACTACGGGAAGGAGCTTAAAGATCAACATTTGATGATGTATTTCTTCAAGGAACATGTGGTCAGCAGCTACTATATGCAAAAGTTTTCTGAAAATCTTAGGTTACTCACCAACAACTCTTGCTCTGCTTTCATGGTTTGGATAGCATGCATCAGTATCTTTTTAGGCCACTGCTTACGCTTTTTTGTTGTCTCTACTATTAGCTCATCAAATTGATCTTCAAGAATTTTGATGTTGGAACCTAAAAATCACAAACACACAAAGTTATTGTAGGAATACTCCTACAAATTTTTTTTAAATTGAGACAAAGTTATAAGGAAAAAGACAGCTTTAGATCTGAAATAAGAAATTATGTGTAATTATCAATGAAGAGAAAGATATCTGTCTCGGATCTCCTTGTAAGGTGATATAGAAATTGGAGCACAACTTGATGTTGCCCAGTTACTCTTGAAGCAAGGGAGCTGGTGAGAACGGGGGGGACAGGGAACGTTCTGGGAAAAAAACAAAATTGTATTTTTCTCTATGCACTCTGAATCTATAATCTCACAAAGAAATGGTTACCTTTCAAGCAAGAAAAAATGGTTTATCTGTGTAATTTATAAGCATTAAACAAACACCAACTGTCCAAGTAATTTGAACACTAACTGATTTTATATCATATAGAACACAGATACGCCATTTACTTTTAAAATCCATCTATGAATTTTTGACAATATACAATGCCACCTTAATGAAACATCATTCCCAGAAATACCCTGCATCCTGAGGACATCTGTAATTACTAGTCACATGGAGTTTGCAAAAAAAACCCCCAAAACCAAAAAAACCCCATGTCTTCTCTCAACATCTGAGGCCCAAGAGACTGTATCTGGTAGGAGCTAACTTTCACAGCTTGCTTTTCTAATTGTAAGATTAGACTAAATACCTAGAACATATTTTCAGCTCTTGACTGAAGTGTTTTGACTACTGCTACCCTAATACAGGTACTTGGCTTTTTCAAGAATGCAATTAAACTTAACAATTTTGAAAGCTTAATATAGTATTTTAAAACTGGTTTCAAAATTTAGTAAATGCCTGTACTGTCTTGACATCACACGCCATCATTACAAACTAAAAATTAAGAGTTATAGAAGAAAACAAAATCAACCACTCGAATTTATATCCTAACTGTGTGTAACTGAAAGGTAATGCATATTTGTATATTCATCCATCTGCACATCTGCACATTTCCTATAATTTTTCTCCCCTGATGGAGATTTGAAACGTTGACAACAGTCTTGCCTTTTTTTTTTTTTTTAATTTAATTTTGCAAACTCCTTAGCATTTAAATTCACTGTCGCCACTAACATCTTGAGCACAACTTGCAAGCCATGCAGTGTTTTCAATCTAGCGGTAAAGAATGGATTTTGAGCACCCTCTCTTGGTCAATCTGTGCAGAATCAGGTGATTGTAAACCTCAGAAAGGCAAAATAAAGGTTTTAAACAAAACCAGCCCACAAACTTGTTTGTTTTAGGATTACCATGAAATCATTTAAGCATAGAGGGGAAAGACTTGAGCCACTGGTCAATGTAAACACTGAAGGCAGAAAATGCCAGCTCACGGGTGATTCAAACTGGATCAGAGATATGCAAATGAGGAAATTTATGTCAAATTAAAAAGCACAATACAGTCCTTACACCTGCTTTATGGCAGCTGTAGGAAGATGACAGTATCTCAGCTGGCATAAGTTAGGCTTGTACAGACAAAGGCTAATTTACTGAAAATAACATCCAACTGGACAAAGTTTTCCTGTTAAGAAAATCCTCTTACGAATTTTTGAACTAACTAGAATTAGTTAAGTGAGCCTGAATCAGTTCAGCATTTTGCATCGTGAGACCAGTGCATTTTTTACTTTTTAGTAGTCAAAGGAGTTGGAGTTTTATCATTCTAGAACTACAACTGCAGAAGCTTTCTGACCAAAAAACAGTACAAGGAGCTCTTTCTCTATAGGCAGTTCAATATATCTGTATTTTCAGCTTTGTGCAACTGTAAAAAGCATCAAGTTACAGGCAAAGAACATCTAACGCTAACACAGATGAGCAAATGAATCGCACTGAAATTTTCTTTGGACACCAGACTACCAAGAACCTCCACTACTATTATTCAAAAGACAATAATTATAAAAATATTGTATATATTACATAAAAATGTGACTAAATAGCAGTAATTATAAACATTTACTTAATTTGTATATTAAGATAATAGCAACAGACATACTACTGGCATCTCTTGCTAGGAAGAGATCTTGGCCAATGTCCCTAGCACAAAATCACTCAATCTGGAAGGGCCCTCAGGAGGTCTCTCCTGACTCAAGCCTCCTGCTCACAGCAGGGTCAACACCCAATTCAAACCAGGTTGCTCAGGGCTTTCATCCAGTTGGTTCTTGGAAGCCTCCAGTGCTGGAGACTGCAAAAGGTCTCTGGGCAACCTTTTCCAATGTTTAGTTATCCTAATAGTGAATTATTACTTCCTTACATCAAGTCAGAACAACTCTTTGTAATTTATGACCCTTGCCTCTGTGCACCTCAATAAATAGCCTGCCTCCATATTCTCAGTAACCTCCTCGTAGGTACTGTAAGGCTGGTTTGTCTTCTCTGGGCTAAACAAGCCCGGTTCCTTCAGTCTCAACTCACAGGGCAAGTGCTTCAGTCCCCTGGGTGTCTTGGCAGCCTCTGATGAACTAATTCCAGTTTATCAGCAATTTACCTATACTAGGGAGTCCAAAAACAAGTGCACTACTCCGAATGTACTCTACTAAGTGCACAGTAAAGGCAAATAATCGCATCCTTGGATTTACTGACTACACTCCTGCTAACACAATATACTAGGCTGGCTCAGGGTTAGCCCGCCAGGACCCCCAAGTCCTTTTCATCCTGTACCCCTGCAGGGGGTTAACCTTTCCCAGATTTAGGACTTTGCTTTTTGCCCTTGTTGAATTTTATGAGATTCCTACAGATGCATTTCTCCAGCCTGTTTATGTTCCCCTGAATGGGCCTGCCCTTGAGCATATTCACTGCATGCCACCCTGGTTGGTGTCAGCTGCAAATTGGGTGCAGGCACCTTCCATCTCCTCCTCCAGGTCACAGATAAAGACATTAAACAGAATGGGTCCCAGAATAGACACCTGAGGAACTCTGCTTGTAATAAGCCCTGAGGTAAAAGTATGAACCATTAAACACTACCCTCTGAACTCAATGATCCAGCCAGGATTCTCACCTCCCTAGACCATAACATCCTAGCTTGGATGCTCTGAGAGGCTGTGTCACTGAGTACTGGAGCAATTCCAACTGAAGAACACCAAGAGGGTTGGCATCCAGAGTACATGATGTATGACAAGCAGCTGAGGGAGCTGTGTTTCCTCAGCCTGGAGAAGAGAAGTCTAGGGGGTAATTTAACTGCTACCCTCAGCTACCTAAAGGGCGTCCTAAAAGACAGAGGCAGGCTCTTCTCAGGGGTGTGCAGCAAAAGGATGAGAGGCAACAGATACATTACAGTAAAGGAAATTCCAATAGGCCACAGGAAAGAAAATTTTTACCATGAGGGCAGTCAAACACAGAAACTCACTGCCCAGAGAGGGGGGGAAGCCTCTGGACTTGGATCCTGTTGCTGTGTTCTAGCTTTCAAAATAGATCACCTTACCCTATTCCATGAAATGTTGTATACTCCCTTTATTCTGACAAGAGAAGCTGATGAAATAGAACACACTCTGTCCTAACCTTCTGAATGAAAAATCTTGCTTTGAAATCTTGACTTTCTAAAAGCTTGCTGTAGACTTTCCAGCGAGACAGCTGCCATTAAACTTAATTAAACATTTATTTTTCCCATGTTAATATCAGATACTTTGGTAGTCTCTAACCTACTCTTCTCTAGTAGTCAAGGGCAGATACTTTAAGTTAGGTAGGCACCACACTAGTGATCGCTGGAACTTTGTGCCTCAAGATCTATAAAGATCTTGACAGAAGTGTCAAACAAGCAACGGTCCTTCATATAAAGCACTATCCCCTTCCCTTTTCTCTTGGATACGGGTCCCTACACATCTTGGTTACCTTTCTTTTCATTTATGCATGCTGCTCTGCAGCACTTCAGATCTTCACACGGGCACATCTGAGTTGGGGTTTTACCCTACCTGCCCCATGAACATCCTCGCTGCCACAGATAGCTGGGGGGGGGTCGGGGGACACGAGGACTGCCCGAGTAAAAAAAAA